GGCATGGGCCAAAATTGTGGATTGAATTAGCGAATACACATTTTGGGAAATACGATTTTGTCCTCGCGATCGCATGTGCAAAATAGCCATATAATTACATGGCTTTGACCTGCAGAAACTAAGGCTTTATGCCTCAAGCCATGCGATAGCATGATTCTAAAAGCTAGCCGTTAAGACTAATTTTCAAGTTTGTTTTTGGTATCTTTTGGTGAATGGATTTCAACTTTTGATGAATTGTTGTAATCATTTCTTGGTGTATGAATGAATATATATAAACAGGAGATTGACAATCAACAACAAGAAAACCGCATTTTGTAATTCCAAATCTTCAAAAAATCATATTCGAACTATTTTAAGTTTTCATTAAATTCACTTTAAAGAAACACTTCTGCTTTGGTTTTCTTCATTATAGGCTTAATAAAATCCTACAAATTATTTGTGGAAAATCTTTAAAAGCATTTGGAGATGAGACAAATTTTATTTGAGGACAGTGTTCTTAAACGTGTTCAAGTCTTGCAATCAATTTCCATTTTATGTTTCCATCTTCATCCTCCTATTCTCCATTGTTTTCCACCACAATCTCTAATACTTTAAATTTTTTAAATGAGATAGTTCAACACTGCAACATAACTAAGAAATATTTGGGGTTCGGATTCCCTCACTGCCTATATTCAAGAATTGCACAAGCAAGGACTTGAGATATATGTTAAAGATACGATTAAACGAATATATGTGTCTCTCTTTAATAATTTAAACTTTTAAATAAGATAATTTTAGCAAATAGCAATCCTGCTTATCACTAGTAGTGCGTGAAATTACTACTAGCTAGGAAAAATTATAAAGTTTTGCTGACATTTATCTTTCTCAAATAAGATATATGGTTTAGAAGTTGTTTGGTTAAGATTAAATAATAAAATTATTTTTTATGCATTTTGGAAGAGGAAGAAGAAGAAGAAAGAAGAAGAAGAAGAAGAAGAAGAAGAAGAGGGAATACTCAATCGCGTGATAAAATTTTCCCCTCTTTCCTGATATAAAATCATATAAAGTTCATTTGACTTTACTAAAACCTTTTCTCATTTAGTGCTTGTATGATAAAATTTTACTAAATTGTTATCAACTTTTCAACTGTCAAATTTTAATTTTAATCATACATTTTATGAGATTCACAACCTTTGTCAAACTTTTTAATCATACATTTTATCAATTTTATCAAAATTTACTAAAATTTTTGTCAATAACTTCGTCAACTTCAAATGTTAAACTCTTGACCAAATGTCAAGCTCCAGCTGGGATCACCTTTTGTCTCAACTTCTAACTTGACCCGACTCATTCAATCTCTTAACTGGGAAAATATGTGTTGATATGTATTTTAGAGACTTCTACATGATGTTAACATATGTTTTACGTGGATATAAAAATTCCACTATCAATTAAGCTATTTGTACAGAAATTGTTTCCATATTTGTTGACAAATGATCATCCATTTTGGCCCTTAATTTAAAATGTGTGAAAAAAAAATGTACAAGTAGTAAAGCTAATTTCATTATAGTACTTACCTCAATGTTTGGTGATAAGTGTATTTTATACACCTATTTAAGCCACAAAACATGAATAATTGTGGGAAAATATATTGGACTAGGCTTAATTCTATATAAATTATAATTTGCAGGACAACATTGATGAATATGGTGGAATTTAGGAGAAGCAAGTGAAAATGACTAAAATGTAAGAAAATCAAAGTTTAGGGACCAAATTATAAATAGTCAAAAGATGATTCGGAAGAAGAAACGAAGATGTGAAAGAGTTGAAATTCAATTGAGTGAAGGAATGAAGTATTGGAAAAAGAAGAAGCGAGAAAAGAGATCATAAAACGAGAAAACAAAGTTCAAGGACTAAAATGCGAAAATTGGATCTTTGCAAGGTACATTTATCCATGCGATCGCATGGTAGGCAATAGGAATTTCCAGGGCTGAAATTGGTTGAACTATGCTACAACAAGAGATTGAACTATGCTATAGTATAGTACATTTTCGGGGGGGAAAATTTGGTTTCCTTGTATAACTTCAACTCTTATGAAAACAATATTTGGGACGTCTTTTAAAGACTTAGGGCCGTCCAAAAATAGTTTACCATGTATTACAACTCATTAGAGAGCATAGAAGACGGTAAGGAACATAAAGAGAGATTCCACAATATCAAGATTCACAATTTGGGTGATGTCTACTCAATATTTCTTTCTTTTTCTTCTTGACAACATGTTAAGTTTCTTTGTGCTAGGATAACGATGAACCGTGTAATATGAGTTTTTAATTTTTAGTTTTACATATTTGACATTGATTATCTTTTCTCTACTATTATTGTGCACAGTAATTGTATGAATTTTATGGCTTATTTTATGCATTCGAAAGAAGGGAAATATGTTCGACATAGTGTAAATCATTATAGGATTTGATAGGAAATAGAAATATATCTCTATATTTTATGTTAATCTTTTAAGTGTTCATAAAAATTCATACACTCTTATATGTTCACATCCGTTATAAAAATATAATCGACACATATATGAGAGTAGGTTTAACATTACTTGAGATATATTATTGAATAAAATAGGAATAGTGATCTTTCAAAATTCAACCGTATAGTCAAAGTGTAAAACTAAGGTTAAAAATGATTATTATATGAGAATTTGCGATTCTAGTGCGCCCGTCATTCATTAGAACACATCAACTCTCATTTGGCTTAATTTAAATTTAATTTAGTTAATTCACTCATAATTGCATAAGTAGATTATTACAGTTGTAATTTCATTACAAATAAACACATTAGGTTATTATTGTTTCGATTAAGGTCACGATAATTAAAATCGAATTAATTCAATCTCTGTGAGACGATACTTATATTCAAATACACCTTATTACTTGTTAACAATCGTACACATATTGTGGTTTTAATTCAAAATATATTTTCATGAATATTTGAAATTTTTCTAAACTCTAGAACAAATTAATTTGAGAGAAAAGTTGTTTGTACATGGGAAATTACCAGAAAACTTCATAGGTGCTGATGTAACGGATTTTGATTGACTGTTTTAAATTTGTTTTTATGCAAAGTTCAATGACTTTCTACCACTTAACATTCTGTAAATCTATTTGACAATTTTCCCTATCGTGTAGCTTCTCTCTTAGTTTGATGATGTGTATATCTTTTATTTTCATGGGCAACGGCGTCAAAAACTTGTTGTCAATTTTATCCCACAAGTGGACAGATCGTAACAAGTAGTAAAGTGGACTTTTTGAGTCCGAATTATCATTCCCACGAGGACTATACTTTAATACTCAATTTATTATTTCTAACTTCTATTTGACGAAAATAAACAAAAATAATGATTAAAAGTAGTTTTTATTCTAACTACTTAGAAATTCGTGAGTGCAACAGAAAATGAGTGAGAATTGAAATAATAATTGGGTATTAGGGCGGAACGACTTCACCCATTGGTCACCTTTACTTCTAATATCGAGATTTATAAAATCTAAAGTAGTGTTTGGTCGAATTCTTCTACGGTAGTCAATTTACCCCTCTCGAGTTCTCATTGAGTACATTTAAATAATTCAATTACATATCTCTATGCGAATCAACATTATTTAAATGAAATAATAGTTTAATGAATCGATTCGATCGCAACTTCGAATATGGAATTCAAAGGGATCAAATACGAAAGGATACTCTGAATCATATAGGACCGCAGTAATTAATATAGATATCTCTTCACGTTGTATTAATTTACAGGATTTTAATATGTGGTCTAAACAAGAATCCGCATATTTACGTAATTATTGTTCACTAAACCATTGAATAATTGGCCAGAAAATTCAAAATATTGAGAATATGATTATAATACACACATATAATTATAATGAACAATGACTCAAATAAAAGAAATAAGGGTTCTCAAATCAGTTACATTGTTCGTCCTAAAATCATATTAGCTACTCATAGTAATGAAAGAAAAACAAGGAGTTATTATGGAAGACATCAACGGGTTTTGAATAAAAATGTAGAATAAGAAATCAATCTTGCACCAAGATCTTCTTCTTCTTCCAATTTATACTTAATCCTTGAATTACTAGTTGTTTTGTTCTCTTGAATTCCTCTCTTTTGATTCTTCAATTATGCTATCTTACTTCTCAATGTGCGAAGAATCCCTCCAAAAATGTGAGAAAGATGTATTTATAGGTGTCTCTTCTATTTGTGTAGAAAATAGAGTTTTTATGGATTTCAAAACGACCTAAAAATGTGCCCTAGACAATCTCAGAGCAGCGCCTAAGCGCTGCGAACAAACTTAGGTAGTGCCTAAGAGCTGATGGCAGTGCCTTGACGCTATGATTGCAGCACCTAAGGGCTGACTTTCGAGAAAAAAAATCGTAGCACTTGGGCGCTCGAGATAGCGGCTGGGCACTGTCGTCAATTCGATCGCACTGCACAACTCTCAGTCTTTTCATCATAACAATTTCTGTCGATATCCAATCGAGGCGATTCAAGATGTGGTGGAAAGCTAACTCAAAGAGCTACAACTTTGATTTATATATCATTTTCAAATTTGATCATTTGCTATGTCAAAAGTGGGTCTCAACACGAGTCTAAAAACGATGTATACATTTCTTCCATTGGAACTTGATGTATGATCATAATTTGATTATATTTCATCCCTTTGATGTCTTTATTTATCCAATTGACTTCAAGAACTCTTGAATCTTCATTGTGAGGTCCGACACAACTTTTGAATATTTTCACTTTTAGTCCCCGAACTTTGGTTCTCTTACAACTTAGCCCACTTAATCCAATTTTGTCAATTTTTGCTTATTTCTTTCAATTTCTTGTACTATCATTGAATTTTACCTATTCAACACAAAATACAATAATTAAGACCATAATTTATCCGAGAAACAACTAAATATCATCGTTTTAAAGTCTTGAATAAGTATATAAAATAAACTTATCATATGCCCTCTTCAAGCTCGGTTGCTGTTCAAACAGTCTTGTCCCATTTTGTCATTTTCGATGTTGTAAATTTGACTAGAAAAGTAAAAAATCATGAGTCAAGATTTCATTATAAAAATTAGGACATGTTTGGTACCTAGAACCAGTACAAATCGTGATAAGTGCTTGTATTGTATGTGTTTATTTTGCAGCTATTGCTAGGCATTGTGGCAGCAGCCAGTGGAGCTGCAGGTGGTGTTGCTTACATAGGTCTGAAAGGTAATTCCCAATGTGGCTGGAGAAAAATGTGTAATCTGTACTACCAATTCTGCAGATATCTTGGAGCTTCCATTGCCGTCTCTTTGATCAGCTCCATTGTACTTGCATTGCTCGTTTTACTCTCAGTATATACCCTCTCTAAGAAAATTCCTAAGTAGAGGGTTTAAGCAACATGAGTCGAAGTCATTATAGTATGTTTACTGAGTTAGACTGGACAGTACTAAACATGATTAGAGAAGAATAATAAGTTAAAAAGTAATGTTATAAATTAATACTGTGTATATGATACACTACTCGTATCAAGTGGGCTATGAGTATTATGTCTTGTGTGCATATATAGTTATGAGTAGTATGTCTTGTGTGCATATATAGTTGTGTATTTGTGCAGTTGGTAAAAACTTATAAATTAAGACATAATTGATTATACTCTGTGATTGTGAAGTGCACGTGAAAACGACATACTTTGTCACAAATACTAGAAAATAAGCAACCAGTACTAGTTGATTCAAAGAAATTAAAGTTAATTTAGAATGTAAATGGCAGAGAGACTATTTAGGCTCTAATGTGTTTATTCAATATTTGATATTTACACAAGAAGCCAAACTTATGGAAATTATAATCACGACCAAAAAATAAGTCAAAAGTTGATAACCCAGATTTGCTTGAAAATTAAGAACAAGACGTGTTTTTGACCCCTAAACGGATAGTTTTTGTTCATGAGCCCTTTCTATTTGTAAAAGTGAGGTCATTCGTCCAAATCTGACTCTATTGCCTTGAAAATGGTTCGTTGATCAAGGTTATGAAAATTTGTTACGACTCCTTGTGGGCTGCATCTGTGTGTGTGCAGAATTTTGTTCCTGTATTCAGTGTTAATCGCAGTTAAACTTAAATGCTGGCTGCAGTTAAAATACAATCAGTGGTCAACTAATGCCACTAAAATCATCTGTCTGGGCAACAAAACTGACAGAATTCTATAGTTTCTAATTTCTATATAGAAATACAAGTCTATCTATGCTTAAATTTACAGCAAAACGTAACAAGAAAACTGCTAAGTGATCTGTAGGACGGTTTTCTTTCAAGAACGTAACTAGAAGCTATTACAATGAAATAAGATTTCACACACACTAGCTTTACATAAAATTAACTTAAAGCCAGAATAATCACATTAAGACAAGAAGATGACTGTTTGCCAGGAATAATTTCCTGGTGTAAATCACAACACCTTACTGCAAACGCCATGGAAGCTGCCACAAAGGGCGGTTGAACTAGAGAACTGTAAAATATATCCCCGTGCTTGCAAAACACAACTTGAAGTCCTAGATGGTAATGTTTGCCTCTGATTAAGATGATTAGAGTCTGACAGCATAACAAGATTAGCCTGATTCCTAATAAACTTGGGATTTGCTCAGGAATTTTTTCTTGTCACCTGCATCTAAAGCTTACCCTAAATGGTTTCCCTCCAACACAACTCCTTTTTCAATTGGCACATTTGGAACTCTAATTTCCCATTCACCTGAACATCATTTTTGATAAGTAAATACATGATTTCGATGTTCTCACAGAGGAGAACCCATATCAATCTTGAACTTCCAAAATAACCAACCGGGTACCACTCAAATTTTATGCCAAATTTAGCCACTCAACCCATTTTTCCAACAGGTTATTCTATTCAAAGTACATCAAAAGGAATTAAAGAAATCATCCAAAAACATAGATACAATTCAACACTACACCGCTCAAGGAACAGAAGTTATGTATGAATGAATATCAACTACAGGGTTCAAGAATATCCATAACCGACATCCTTTGCTACTATACTAAAATTATTGTTGAACTGACGTAAATGGTAAGATTACACCGACAAACAGTCTCTACCTCTATGAAAAAAATTTAAACTACAGGAAGAAAGAAAGGCAGAAAATATTATTGAGTTGATCTGCATTTCAGAACATAAACGTCTTTAGACTCTTAAATTTTAATCCCTCACAGGCCAAGTACAAAATGAGGATCCATGTACTTTACATATTCTCAGTATCAAAAAATGGCTGATTGAGTTTGGAATTCTACATAAACTTTCAACAAATGGTAGATTTAGAAAATTGTTTGCTCCCCTAACTCCTGACCAGCCATTCCTTCTTCAAGTACTCTTTTAAAGAATTCTTCCAATGTGTCCTTCCCATAACTCGGAGTTCTCTCAGCATCATATTCTCCAGTATCGTGATCCCAAACCAGCATACTTTCGGCTGCGTAATACCTTCCAATCTTCCCAAACTCCGCTGCATCTTCCAGTGAAGGAAATATCTTCACAAGGAAATCAAGAACTCCAATGGCAAAGTCCATTATTTGGATTGGTACTTTGATGAAATAAGGTTCTTTTCCTAAAAGTTTAAACAACATTTCCCCTTGCTCCAATGGCGTCAATGCTGCCCCGGGTCCTCCAATTGGCAAAATCTGGTTTATCTTATCTTCACTCAACACACAATCTGCAATAAACGAAGCCAAGTCCAGCTCACTAATTGGCTTACAAGCACATAGTTTTCCGTCCCCAAACATCACATATGGTTTTCCATCTTTCACTAGCTCAACCTGACCTGCCAAGCTCTTGAAAAATGCAGTCGGCCTAACAATGCTATAAGTAAATCCCTTATCCCGTTTAGCTTCTTCTATCAACTCGGCCTCAAATTTCAATTTCGCACGCTGAAATTCAAGAAGGGGCTTCTGCACACAAATAGCAGACAACAAAACAAAATGTGCAGCCCCAAATTTCATACCAGCAATAAGACTGTTTCTCGTGGCCTCATAATCTATCTTCCATGAGTCTTTCACCCCGCCACTCCTACTAGCAAGACAAGACACAACAACATCGATTGAAACCCCAAGATTTCCGACACTTTTCTCCAAAGATTCCAACGTTGTAGCATCCGAAAAGCAAACATTTGCACCATTCAACAATCCCAGAGTCTCTTCTTTACTATTCTTGCCTCTTATCCCACTTCTTTCTCTTGCAACGGCAATAACATTAAACCCCCTTGAAATTAATTCTTTAACTACAAAATTCCCAATATAACCAGTTGAACCTACAACCAAAACATTAATATCTTTAGGTTTCTTACTTCTGAATGAAACTTTGGGAGTTTCAACAGTCTGGGTAGCTAAAACTGTTCTGAATTTAGATCTTTCTTTACTAAATTTAAAAGGCTCAGATAAAATCCCAGAAGGAAAAGTATAAGGGAATTCATTAATGAAATTTGAAGTAAAAAGTCTTTTTTTCCCTGACTGAGTTGTTAGGCTATTGAAGTTGAAGGTGGCGCAAATGGACATTTTTTTTTTTTATTCAAGAAAAATGAACTAAAGTGGGTTTATGGACTTGAGGAGAAGCATTATTTTGAAGAAAAATTAAGGTATTAAAGAAAATCTGAGCTGAGTGATTGCAGGGTATTTTAGCGAGATGGTGAATGGCGCTATCAAATTAGAATCCAAATGACTGGTTGATATTTGGTGGTAAGACGTAGACGCAATCCACTGAAACCATGGGAGAACCAAGAAAATAGGCCATAATGTTATTTGATAAATAAAAATTGTTCATTTTGAGTTGTGTTATCAGCGGTACATTTATAATCGGAACAAACAATCACACATATGGGAAATAGATTCACTATAAATAAAAAAAAGGGCAATTTACAAAATTGTCACCAAAAATGAAAATTAAAAAAAAAATGTCATTTTCACTTTTTGTGTGCAAAAATGTCACATTTTTGGGGTGCAAAGTCCAAAATACCCTTAATCACACATTTCTAGTAGCATTAAATGCTTGATGTGAAGGAAAAGCATTGACTTGATAGAAAACATGGATAAATGTGTATTTTATTGATTAATATGAATTTTTGTTAATAAAAAATTACCAAATAAATTAGAAAACGAAACAAAAACAAGAAACCCTACCTCTTTTCCATCTTCTTCATTTTCATTGATCAAGAAAATATTTGTGTTGCATTCTACATCCACTTTGAGAGGTTAGCAATTACAAATTAATTTATATACTTTTATAACTTTGTATTTGTACATATTAAATACAACATGAGCATATTTATTTGAAATTACTTTGAAAGTATTATGCATTCATTTGTTTGATTTTTTTGAATCCTTAATAAAATGCCATTATCACCATTGAGTAATTTCTTCCATTACCACCATTAAGGTCTCTTTAATGACAAGGCCAATATGCCATTTTCATTATATCATTTGGTAGGTGAATAATAATGACCACACTTAATATGATGTGTTGAAAAAACCTCAGAAATTTACTGCCGTCTGCTTCCAGACATTCTCGACAGTTAAACTGTCAAGTTCGACATTTACAAATCGTCGAGTTAGACGTTTGAGATGTCGAACCTGACATTTCAAAACTGCCGAGTTATAGAATATTACTTTCAATTTGGATATTTCAAAACGATACAAACCCTTGATTTGAACTTTTGTTATTGTACTGATTTACGTATTATGAAGTGTGAGTTTCATGCTATTAAATGCCAACATATTGATTCCGAATTGTTACCATTGCAATCCCAACATTTCAAGTATGAATAATCATTTGAGATTCGTCGTGTCGCATGGGGGAAATTTTGTTCATGCGGATGACGAATGGAAGTGGAGAGGGGACAAAACTACTTCCATTCTGGTGCCAAGAAGTATTACCGTAGCCGAACTTATGTTAAAGTTGAAGGAGAAACTTGGTATTCTTGATCCCCGTGCTCAAATTGAATTGAAGTTCAAAATCCCTAACTTGAATATACCTCCGGCTGAAATATGCGACAATGAAGACTTAAATTGGTACGTATCAGTACCTAAGGAAAGTGCTATCTGCGTTACTGTTTTGGAATCTGATCTCCCAAGTGTTGACATGGGAAGGAATGCAAATTTTGAAGATCCTTCGTTTGCCGCGGTAGATGTTCTGCAAAATGTGGAACATGATTTGGTAAATCGAATGCATAGTGTCTCAAACAATTATGCACTTGAAACACATGAGTATGATAACGGGAGTGCACCATTAGATGAGAACTTGGATAACCCATCACCTAGTTTAGAGGCTGCTAATTCTGTTGACGTCGAGGACGAGCACTCTTTGTCACATTCGAACGATTCTGATGGATATGAATTTATGAGAACTGTGACTACATCCGATCTTGCCGAAAAGGAAATATTCTTCAGCAAGAAAGAGTTGTACTCAAAAATTCGTGCACATGCTTTGAAAAACAAGTTCCAATTTCGGGTGAGCTGGTCAAGCATGAAGATGTTAACCGTTGTATGCGCTGACCGCAGTTGCAAGTGGATGTTACGTACTTCTACTGTGAGGCAGTCTGCAATCTTTGTGATCCGTAAATTCAATAATGTGCACACATGTTCCATCGATTTTCGCAGTAATGCACATTGACATGTGACGAGTGCTGTAATTGTCGAGCATATTTTCGAAAAATTGGATAATCCGAACCGATCGTATGATCCGAGCACTATTGCACGTGACATGAAACGTGAGCTCGGTGTCCAAATAAGTTGCAACAAGGCACGTAGGGGAAAGGTGGCCGCTTTACATATGCTGCATGGGACACCGGAGGACAGTTTTCAGAAACTATCTTCATACTGTCACGTACTAGGTGAGAATAACCCAGGGACGGTAACCCACATCGAACTTGATTCGCGCGATAGATTCCATTACTTCTTCCTAGATTTTGGTGCAAGCATTCGTGGTTACATGCAGTACTTGAGGCCCGTTGTTCGTGTTGATGGTAGTCACTTGAAAGTTCCATACAAGGGTACACTTTTACTGGCAACTGCCCAAGATGCCAACAAACAGATTTATCCCTTAGCGTGGGGGATTGTGGATTCCGAAACTAACCGATATTGGATGTGGTTTATGTCTAACTTGAAAGATCTTATAGGAGACTCAGATGAACTTGTATTTGTTTCGGACAGGAAAAGAAGTATCGAAAGAGCTATTACTCACTTATTTCCTTTGTCTCGTCATTGTTGTTGTATGTGGCATGTGGAGAAGAACCTAATTCGGCGGCACTTTAACGCAAGTTCAATACTCCTGTTCAAACGAGCCGCTACAACTTATTGGGTCGAAAAGTTCGAACGACTAATGGGACAGATTCGTAGGGTGAGTGAAAGATGTTACAGGTATTTGGAGAAAGCCGGTTTTTCATTCTGGTCACGAGCACTATTCGTGGGAGACCGATACAACATTATGACAAACAACAACGCGGAATCATTGAACTCAATGCTAAGACATGCTCATTCGTTGCCAATCACGTGTTTGGTCGAGCACATTCGTAAAACAATGCAGAGGTGGTTTTACAAATGTCGAAGCAATGCAACTGCATGCAGTACTATATTATCGTCGAGGATGGAGAACGAGTTACAAACAACATTTGAAGCTGGTACTAGGCTTCGAGCCCATGAGTTGACAAGCAGCTTGACCCAGGTTGGAATATCCAACAATACGGAGATAGTGGACTTCTCCGATAACACGTGCACATGTCGTGAGTTTCAACTAAATCGTATGCCATGTGCTCATGCAACTCGTGGTGCTACCCTGAGTAGTAAGTCATTATACGATCTATGCTCTCCGTACTATACATCGGAATACTGGAGGGGTGCCTATATGGAAGTCATATATCCCGTTACACAGGAAGTGGATTGGGTTGTTCCATATGAAATCCTAGGCACTCATATTTTGCCACCGACTGTACGTCGTCCTCCAGGTAGACCACCGACGCGACGTAAGCGAGCTAGATACGAGTTCACTTCCCAACTGAGGAAATGCACTCGATGTGGGAGACTTGGTCATAACCGGACCACATGTTCGAACCCTATTGTATCACAAGCCACTTGAAGAAGCGTGATGTGTAAAAGTGGTTGTCAAATGTAATCCCCGAAAAACTTAATTTAAATATGTATTGTACATTCCCAACTTATTTTATGAATCTGTTATTATTATCGTATGCCAGTGCAAATTTGGTCATTATCACGAATGAGATGAATACCTTTTTCGTACTATAAACTTAGCCGATCATAGAAGTTTCATTAGCTTCGACTGACAGTTTGTCGAATTGGAAAATTGATTTTCATGAGACCATACTGAACAAACAAAACACCAACATTACGTCTCGACATTTCATATGTCGTTCCCGACAGATAGTCTCTGTAATTCTCGATAGTTGGGAACAACAGCGGCTTGAAAACCTACACTACTGCGGTTGCCTATTATGGAGATGCAGTTTCTGCACGTATCCAGAGAACATGACCAAAATCATCCATACCACAAAATACTAAACATATTTTCCTACAAAAGGGCCATTTATTGCACAGTTGCACTGCTTTTGACAATGTAAGAAGCTCCCCCACTTTCCCCATCAGACTCGTCTGAGCTAATGAAAATTACTTCTGGAGGTGGAACATGAGCCACCCACTCATTCGAGTCGGACGGTGACTTGATCGGACCCCTAACCTCGAAGACTTGATCGAGAACGCTGTTCAGTGACTTAGATTCTGCACTTGACACTTCATCGACCTCGACACCATGCTGTTCAACTCTTACATCCTCATCGTCTGACAACAAAACAATGGGAAATTCAGCGGATGAACCCAGTATGGGTGGATGCATATTGGAGTTGAATGTTTCATTGCTAGAGGTGGATGAACCCATTATCTCGTATCAACTACCTGTTTCAAAATGGAAGCCTCACAACAGCTTTAATGACATATGAAATGTAATTTGATAGACAATGCTTGTAATGCATTCATTATGATAGTATAAATGTATTGGAAATACTTGTTACTTGCAAAAAATCAGAAACGTATAATATCTACAATAGCATGTTACACTAAGACACTTGTATTGGAGAATCCTACCATTTTCAATTATCGAAACGCAAGGAACTTATAAAATTTAATGGCCCGCCTAGTTGAACCGTCGGGCCCGACAGATGTTTTCTTCCTTCTCGACAGTTGACGAAAACGTGCATTGCAGTAAAGATCGTAAAATTTCAAATTTTGGTAAACTGTAGAATAAATTAAGAAGAATAAATAGAAGTAGCTCTTTCTTACCACAATGTTGTTCAACTACGTTGAAAGTGTCACAATGATCTGTCCGTAAGTTCAAAGTGGCACAATACCTTGGCACCAAAATTGATTGTAAGCAACAATGGTCTCCTGGTATTTATAATCATCCTGAAAGGAGGAAGAAATTACTTCATTTATCTACCCAACCACCAAGTTCAATCTCTAAAAAAATTTGAAAAGCAATTGGTGTGATGGTTAATATAATAAGTGTACCTTTATCCCCCATTGTACCATCATTACTATGACATTGGCAGAGACTAAAATACTTCAATGATGTGTAAAATTCATGTTATCTGGTTGCTTGCAAGAAATTACTTCTCATTTGCCAGCTTCTTAGTTGCACCATGGTTGCAATGGTACAGTTTCTCACAAAACCCTCTCATCATGTTAACCCACATAATAACATACGAAGGACAACGGAATATACATAAACTCATTCGTCAATTAGTTGTACCATGGAAGTCATGACTTTGGCACTTTTAATGGGTCCTCATCTTAATCCAATCTATAGTTTACTAAGCAACTACGACATTCAAGCCCGCTATCTACTCGTAAATGGATATTCGTAAAACGTACGCATACATAATTTTTTGCGCAATACAATGTACGAGCGTTGACGAACATTGAATGAAGGCACTTAGTACCGTAAGTACGATTGACATAACATAATAAAGCCGGATAACTAATACAAGTTGTAACACTACAATAATTTCGGCAACGGTAAACGGTGACAAGGCATTCACCACGGGAATTGCAAAATGCGATGAATGCTTCTAAGTGTCACCAAGCTTGCCAACTACCCTGTCTGATATGTAAATCACAAAAATGAATGAAAAAGGCACCAATGTAACGCGAAGCAACTAACATCCTTCACCACGTAAATTGCATCAAACAAAAGACAAAAGCATGCTGAACCCCGTCATCGTGCTATGTTCGGCAATTTATCCACAATTACTAATGTTTTAGCTTTGTGCTCCCCCTCGTGTACGGAGTCCTGGTAGCAGGTGCCGAACGTCGCAGTCGTGCGGATCACTGTCTATTTGTCGTAACTGCCCGTCCTGGTCTAGCTACATTGACGGGAACTGGGAAAGTTACAACGTAAGCAAATGAAACGAAAAATAAATTCAATTGTCAAAAATTAAGGCAATACCTTGCACTTCATCCACTGCAGCGAGCGCTAGCACGAGGTCATTGTCGGGGCATGGGTCAATGTGTACTGTGTCTGTCGAAATGAACAATTAAATATTTTCAGTGTATAACTACATGTACGAATTTTCAAATTATGCCAAGTACATGAAACAACAATCTACAAGTTTTCCTCATAACTGACCCACATACCTTGCAGATTTATGGTTTCAGTAGGCACCATGTCCTGCTCTTTGTCACAGTCGCCAGGCGATGGGTGGTGGGCCCCTTCGACTACAATAAATGAACAATTGTAAACTAATCGAATGCCTGAAATAATATTTGTTCAAATAGTGAAAAATAATGCAATATCTTGCACTTCTTCGATTGTAGAGGGCTCTGGCACGGGGCGATCCTCCGGGCACGACTGAATTTGCGCTATGTCTATTCAGAACAACAACGAAACAGTGAATGGAAAGTGAATTTTAACAATTTTCAAAACTTCCGAAACACATGAAATGATAATTAATCAATTTGCTCAAAAGTAACCGACGTACCTTGCAGACTTTCGGTTCCAGTGGCCAGTGGCATATCCTGCTCGTCCAGGCATGGCTCCATGTGTTCTTCATTAATGCACATACCATCCCCTTCTTGCCTGTCAATCCCCATGTCTTCGTCGATACCGTCAGGCGACGGGTGGTGGCCTGCAAAGCCTCCATAGTCTACAGTGAATGAACAATTGTCATACAGAACATGTTAGTGAGCAGGGATAAAGTGAACATTGTCATAAAGAACTGTAGTACGCATACGGTGAAGTACCTGATTGTCTGGGCTCGGGGTCCACATCAATCGCACATGCAGTGGTTGTAGAGCCGGATGCTGGGACGATGGTGGATATAAAGTCCTTCAATTTTTTAAATTCATCGGACATGTGCTGCATGAGTTCGAGCTTCATAGTGCAGAGCCGCATTTCGAACAGAATTCTTTGATCTAGCAACATGCCCTGAACATCGTCTGCTGTGAGGCTTGATCCAGCCACTGCAGTAGGTCGTACATGAGAGGTGGACGGTGCCATGGGAGAAGTAGCTCTATGCTGGTGGGGGGGGGGGGAAGTCCCCGTCTGTCCACTTCGTCCAACTCGATCACTGTCACTATCCTCACTGTCGTCCTCCTCCGAGTCCCCACCTTCGTCCTCTCCGCTCTTATCGGCTCCTGACTCCTCCTCACAACTACTGGTCCCCCCACGGTCATGGGCCTCCTCAGAAGTATCACCCTCGCTGGTGCCTATACGCTCTGCTTGGAATTACGGAGCAACACTGTCCCTAGCAAGGTCATCCAACACAGGGACAGGATCATCATTGAGCAGCACAAGAGTTGCGATATGAGGTTGCCTACGCTCAGTCTCGGTGGGCCGCAGTGTCGCGTACACGTGTAGCTACAACATGAACATATTCGTTACGAAATAACCACATGCTACAATGACGAATGGAAGGTATGAGATCGTAGAAGTAACATAATTTTTTACCTGTACATTCTTGAAGAAAGCGTCGTACGTACGCTACTGCGGCTGTTTTGTTGATGTCCAGTCGAGAAGCCGTGGGGAACGTTCCCCAAGACGCTCACCGAAGCGATCACCAATTTCAGGCCCCGCCTCGAACGCCCATATCTGTTAGAGTAAAAAAGGAATGTGAGTTCAGAACGAAACCAACCACGAAATACATTTGCATTGAAATAATTAGTAGGTAAAATAAAGATACCCGTATGGTAATGGGAAACCCGTGGACCGTGTAGCTAACCGCCTTCTCCTTCTTCTTCGTCGCATCCAAAAATTTTCTTGCCCAACGACCCCGAAAGCCCTTTATCAGCCGTCTATATGAGATTCTACCCCAAGGATACGAAAAGAACAAGTCTAGATCGTCGACGATTGACAACATCTCCATATCGATACCAACGTTGTTATCCGGAGCATTGAAGACTCATTCGATGATCAAAGCGAGGCCAAGCTTGTACCAATCGGCTCGAGGCGTTGACGATCGAAGAAATGTCTGCTCGAGTTGGGCGCAAGAAATCTTGTCCACATGTTTAAAGTATTTGTCCTTCAATCTCTTCTTCTCAAGAACTCGGTCCATGACATTATCATTCGGGAGAAGACCACACCTTAATCCAGTCACAAGGGCATACTCTTGAATTCCGAACCTAGCGAGACGGCCTTGCAAATTAAACCACAGTTCGTGCCGCTTCTTTGTTTGTATACAGCAGAATACGAGTTGTTGGATTAATTGGGCAGAGAACTGGAGATCTTGAACCTCGAACAAGAACCCAAGGCATGAGTTGCGAAACTCTTCCCGCTGTAGCTCGTCAAAATGTTCCAGTACTATTTTTATATACCGTAGATTGTTTCTCTGTGATACGTGGCCCTGCAAGCGTGCATTCTCTGGAACAAGAGGCTCGAAATCCATGTCTACAAAGACAAAATAAGAAAAAATTGCGTCAGACCACAATATAAACTTCCTCCCAGCATTGAAACGGAAGATATTCCCACATCAAACATGATTTCCACATCAGAAATTGTTGCATGCAAAAAATAAAAGGAATACTGATATCTGAACACATATCACATAGAAATATCATTTTCTACTAGTAGGC